CGCCCGCGGGTGCCGGGAAGAGGGTGCCAGACTCGTGTCAGTGGTGCCCTCTTGTAAGTGCCGCCCAACGACGCTGTGGGTGAGCTCCTGGAGCGGGGGAGCTGGAGGAGCTGATCTCCAGAGGTCCCTTCCCACCCCACCACGCTGGGATGCTGTGACAAAGCTCAATCCAGCCAGACTGTCAAGTCACCCTCGTGACACTCAGAGCAAAGCAGTGCTGCTGTCACCTCACCTGCCCAGCTTCTGTCCTTCTCCAGTGAAAGCTTTGAAGACACTCTTAGGTTTCACATACTCCTCATCCCGGTGATCCTCCATGTCCAGGTTCACCTGTCCACCCCGTGCTAACCTGCGCAGCTCTGCGGGCACCTCCCTGCAAAGAGAGGCTCCTGAGGCACCTGCCTGCAGAGGCACCCCAGCAAAGGGGAGAAAAGGCACCAGCCACAGACCTCTGGAATTCCAGAGATCTGGCCAGGCCAGACACAGATCAGAGGTTACTCCTTCCCCAGGGCCCTCACCAAGAGTGACCCAACTCATCAGAAGTTCTCATCCCAAATACAAAAGTCTTTGTTGACTTCAGACTCTCTTGGCCCCACACAAACTGAAGCCACTTCCCACTTCTCTCTGAAATCAACATTCCAGGCTGCCCTCCATGGCATCCATATGGAAAGCTCAGGTGAAATGTGCCTTTGATGCAGCCTCCTGGAAGCCACAAACCCTTGTGTTTCAGGAAACAGCTGTTCCCCCCCCTACATACCCTCTGCGGATATCATCGAGGAACTGGGCGTTGGATGGATCCTGGTAGCTCCTCAGCTCTCCACTGTCCAGGCTGAACCCACTCTTCCAGAGCTTCAGTACAATGTGCACCTGCAGCAACCCCAAACCACAATCAGCCTCGTGGAAACCCCTCGGGGCAGCCACCGGATGCAAAGGGAGCGGCTCCTGCCCAGCTGAGGGACTTCAAGGTGCAGAAAACATCCCAGCCAGGCTGCTGAGCCCAAAGCAGGGGCTGCAGAACACACACAGCAGCTCCTAGAGGGTGCCCCCACAGAGCCCTTCTTGGTGGGTACAGCTGGAGAGCTGGGAGCGTGCCAGGGGAGGAGCCCAGGGCAGCTCAGCTCCCAGCACGGCCCACTTGCTCACAAAGCAGGCAGGGGAGACCCCTGCTCTGACACTGTCACCTCTCCCGTGGACAGAGCAGAGTTAATCACCCACTGCTCTTAGCACATCATTTTTCACAATCTGCACTTCTCAGGAATGCTCAGAATCTTAATTAAAAGTTAATCAGGAAACTGCTTATGCAAGACCCAAGCATCTATTCTTTCCTAATCCGGAATCCCACGAGAAGCAGGATTTACCACAGTCCTGTTCTCCTGCCCTTCCAACAAGCTTTCTGAGCCCCTGTGCTCACAAGCTGTGCAGCTACAGCAGAGGAAGCCCTGGGGTGACATCCACCACCAGAGCAGAGACACTCACATCCTGAGCAGCGTTGTGTCTCCTCTCCCCGGCCACGTAAGCAGATTCCTCCTCTGGGGTGGCCCCGAGGCGATACCCACCCCCTGCAAAGGGCTGGAGAGAGAGGGGCAGGCAGAGATGTTACAGGCACCACACACCCCCCTCACAGCCACCACCCAGACCCCTCACAGCCACCACCCAGACCCAGGATTACTTGTTTCCCTTTCCCCAACAGTGTCGTGGCTGAGCTGGCAGCTTCGTGCCACCAGCAACACCTGTTGTCCTGAGGGCACAGAGACCAGCTTGAACTGGTGAATAAATGTGGCACAGGAAAGTGGCTTTTCTTGCCAGACACCAACTGGAGCTGCACTATGAGAGGAGGGATCTGATGAATGCTGAGCAAGGGCTAAAGGGTCCCCGGGGGGCAAGAGGCTGGGGCCAGACTCTGGTCAGTGGTGAGGACAAGGGGCAAAGGGCACCAACTGGAA